CCAATCCTCCTACTTTCTTTTACTTGCAGAGAGCGAAATGACAAAGTATTTATGTCCTACTGTCTTTGATGTCTCTGTTTATCTCATTAAAGGAAAAATGCTTCTGAAACCACAAGGACATACTGTATTTCAAGTTTCAAGAATTCAATCCCAAATGATTTATGCAGGTTAACAGTATGCCTACAGAATTAGAATCTTCACATTGCTGAAATTCTATCACTTTTAATTTCATAAAAACAAAACACTACAACATTCATTCTCCTTTTGTTTATTGCAGGCAATATATAATATTAGGATTTGGTTTACATAAACAAAGTACATCTATTTGAAAAATAGTGTTAATTGTTTTTAATGAAATTTTTTAATTAAAACTTTTTTTCCAATTAAAGTTAAGGCTAGTAAGAACAGTTGGCACTTTTGATATCATTTCAATGACTAACTCCTATTCAAAATTAATTTCTCCAAAGTTCCACATAATGTATTCACAAGACTCTTCAATGTTTATTTATTAAACTCAGTGTTTTCAGTAACTGAAAGAAGCATTATAGAATGTTTCCAACTGAGTCTCCTTCCATCTGTCCTCCTATTTTACTGTTCAACCAGTAGTTTAAACCTAAGAATTGCACTTGGAACAGAATGGCCGGGCGTCCCCCAAAGGGTACAGCTCTCCATCACTCTGCACTGTATTTTCTGTCACATACTTACCAGCTCTAGCAGCTTGCACAGCGTTCTTCCCACAGCCTACTAAGAGTAATGACTGTATAATCCACTAGAAAATAACTCCACCACTTGATATAAACTCTATTAGGGCAGGCGTTTTTATCCATTTTGTTCAATCCTGTATCTTCTATACCTAAAACAATACCTGGCTTTCAATATATATTTATTGAGGGAATAAACTGGATGAATGAAGGAATAAAGAACCTACTCTTTTTTTTTTTTTTTGCGTTACGCGGGCCTCTCACTGTTGTGGCCTCTCCCGTTGCGGAGCACAGGCTCCGGATGCGCAGGCTCAGCGGCCATGGCTCACGGGCCCAGCCGCTCCGCGGCACGTGGGATCTTCCCAGACCGGGGCACGAACCCGCGTCCCCTGCATCGGCAGGCGGACTCTCAACCACTGCGCCACCAGGGAAGCCCAAGAACCTACTCTTTAAACCCATTCTCTCAAGTTCCTACCACAAGCCTCCTTCAACTATTCTAGCCCCCCTGTTGCTGGGTGGAGGATGACTTCATTTGCATACTTATCAGAGACTGTCTTTACTGTGACAAGCAAAGCTTCCTTAGCAACAAAAGTTAACTGTAAGAAGGGTCTATGTATGGAAGAATAAGTTAGTCAATTGACCAGCTCAAACACAAAAGAATCCCCACATGTGCAGCCGAAATCTCCCTAATATGACCCTGCACATAACAGCCTTTCGATGGGCATTTGTTTTATTGGATAGTAAACTATGATAATATAGTGTGAACTTAATATCTCTACAGCATTTGTAAGTTCCCACGTTATCCCAGTGGGCAAGATAGTGAAATGTGGATTAGTCAATACAGTAAGAAGAAAAACAACGGTATGCAAACTGTGCTGGTGGCTGGTCTTTCGTCAGCCTGGGAGAGTAGCATCGAGTTCTAGTCTTGGTCCTTAATAGATTTATCTATAACTTTACCTCCATTCTTACTGAAGGTACTGGTTGGAGGTCCAATCTAGGGGAGACCTTCTAGGGTCACTCTGGGCTAGAAGTAAACAGAATCATAATGAAAGGGTGACAATCAGAGTTTGATGATTTTCCCAAATACTTGTCCCAATGAGACCGCTGCTCTTCTGGCTCATGTGATTTCTCTTAAGTAGATGAACACTACAGAGCCTATATGCTGCACTTCTAAGCCAATCTCTTATTCTCCCCATTGTCTGTTTCTTTTTCCTCTACATCTCTCAGAAATATTTTCCCAGCCTCCAGGAAATGCAAACAATTCCAATTGTGAGAGGTCTTCCATATTATCAACTCTACATTTTCCCCTCTGTAACTTTCACCCACCTCCTGGCTTTGTTTTTGTTTTTGTTTTTGCGGTACGTGGGCCTCTCACTGTTGTGGCGTCTCCCGTTGCGGAGCACAGGCTCCAGACGCGCAGGCTCAGCGGCCATGGCTCACGGGTCCAGCCGCTCCGCGGCATGTGGGATCTTCCCGGACCGCGACACGAACCCATGTCCCCTGCATAGGCAGGCGGACTCTCAATCACTGAGCCACCAGGGAAGCCCCCACCTCCTGGCTTTGTGCTCTAAGTCCACACGAAGAAAGGCTGACCTCCTTTTCCCTCAAAAGCTCATTAAGTATGTCAGGCACTTCTTGTGGCCCTTTCCACCCCTCCCCACTCTCCCATCTGAGTCTACTTTTCTTCATTTCCTATCGTTAACATTTCTAAATCTTAGGACTCATAAGGTAGTTCAGAGAAGAAAGTAAGAATGAAATGTGGGACCCTAGTTGTCCAAATTTTTTAATTAGATGTCATGTTGATTTCTAGTTATACAGGGCTCATTTAAGAAATTCATACCACAGCCACAGATGTCAAAATACACCACAAATGCCAAATTCATATCACAGATGCCAAAACAAAGGTAATAATGTTTACCTAACATGGGTGTCAAAATCATCTGTTGAAATTATTCTTAGAATCACAGAATTTTAAAGCTGTTCATTTCACCCATTCATCTCACAGATGATAAAACTGAGATCTAGAAGAGTTAGGTAGGTAGCCCAAGGTAGATGAGTAGCAATACTGAAAGTACTTGAGGCCCTTCTGGCCATCTCCCAAACAACAAATTATGATCAAGGACGTAACGTACTGAACGTCTGTCATTTCATCCAAACTCCTCATGTCAATAATGTCAGGGCGTTAACTTCCCAGGAAGCTAAATTTACATTGCTATTAGTACAACAATGACAGATTTTAGAACTAGAAAATCCCCTAAAGAACAGTGAGCCTTCCTACTATGAACTAGAAAACTGAAGGCCAAGGAGGCCTGGACACTTGTTGGAGGAAGCCCTGCGATTTAGCAGTAGAGCCAGCAATGGAGCCCAGGCCTTCTGATGACAACCTAGAACTCTTTAGTATCCTACAAAAAGGATTAGCTAAACACCATCAGTATTACAAATCTGAGATCGTTTTTCTTTTTTTTTTTTTTGCGGTACGCGGGCCTCACTGCTGTGGCCTCTCCCGTTGTGGAGCACAGGCTCCGGATGCGCAGGCTCAGCGGCCATGGCTCACAGGCCCAGCCTCTCCGCGGCACGTGGGATCCTCCCAGACCGGAGCACGAACCCGTGTCCCCTGCATCGGCAGGCGGACTCTCAACCACTGCGCCACCAGGGAAGCCCTGAGATCGTTCTAACACAAACTTGCATTTATGACTAGAAAACTATAATTCTTTTAATTAGCACACAAGTTCTGTCTTAGGAAAGTGCTAGGCTGGACAACTGTTTGTCAGAAAGATGTAGAAGAAGGGAGTCAACAGTGCGGGGGAGGTTGGATTGAATGACCACTAAAGTCCCTTCAGCCTCTAGGATTATTCGATTCTGAACTTCCCTGGAGCTCGGCACCTCAGCTAGACAGCCCAGGTGGGGAGGTGGGGAATGTGCAAGTGTCCTGTGGGACACCCTCTCCTGCCTGCCATTGGATTGAATGAACTCTACCCTGCTGTTTCAGGCATTATTCTGTATCCAGTTTACATGCAATCAAATACTCTCGGCAGAGGAAGAGCGTAAGGAAATGCAGTTCTGTCATTTCCAAAGACAGACTACACTGCTTAGCTTTCAAAATTGCCTTGCCTAAACGAGCATTCCATAACCGAACCTCCAAATTCAGCTTTTACAGTTTGTTCATGTACTATGCTACTATCAAAATTAATTATGCAGCATCTTCACGAGGAGAAATCAGATTTGGATGTGAGTTAGGAGAGGAAAGAATACAGCGCCCTTCCCAAAGGAAGGTTAGTGTATCTGCTTCCCCCAAGAGCGCTGGAGTCCTTCCACACACAGACAGATTTCAGATGGCAGTCCCCAGCTGAGCTAGCCATGGGAAGGAAGAAGTTGACATGTTTGAGAAATGAGGAATACGCCAACGAACAACACTCTGAGGCCAACATGTTATTAACCCCCTCCTTTCCACGTAATTCCATTCCAAACCGGAATTCAACACAAATCTGCTTCTTTGCTTTCCTGAATGGCTACTAAATCTTTAAATGTACTGATTTTAGGCGTCTTCTTTTTTCACAATAATGAGTCCCAGGAAAGAAGGTGGGTTGTTTTATTTTTTCCATCTCAGAGAAAAAGAATTTGTAATAAGGGTCAAGCTCGGAAAGTTAGAAGGAAGCCTCAGCAGTAGGACTGTCACATTGAATATTCTTACATGAATGACATTTACCAAAAAAATTCAAACGATCTGATTACGCACATGGGAGCCAGGTGTCACCTAGACCTCAGAAGAGCAAATTGATGCTCTACAACTCAGTGTCAAATAACAAAACAACAACAAAAACAGCCTTACGAGGTATCACAAATTTAAGAGAGAGTGATTCTGTAGAGACTCCATGTGCAAATACGGAAAGCTCTTCTTTAAAAGGCTTGGACCGGTTTTCCACTCTCCTCGCCCTGGTGTGACTAGCCTAAGGATGGTGTGCCCAGTCATCAGGAAGGTTGGAAAAAAGTAGATGTCCTATCGGCATTCAGCTGCCTCCACCAATGCATTAATGTTATCTGAGGTCTAACCCAAAGGAACCCTGCACTTCGGGGGTTTAGAGGAAGGCTCCTCCCGCCTACTGAGCTCCCCATTAGCCTGCCAGGCTGGCATACCACATCAGTCCCGTCTGCTACCAACATCAGCACAATACAAGAAAAAGTCCTTTTCCTCCTCTTCTGAGGTTTGCACCACTTTTCCTTCAAAGGTATTTCTAAAAGGAAAGTACAACTTAAGGGAAGGAGCCCAACTGGGAAAGGTCGGGTCTTTTTGATGTTTACCTTCCCGGGCAGCAGCGTCCAGAAAACAGACCCGTGCGTTCCAAGTCAGGCACGTGTACAAAGACAGCGAAGGACGAGAGGCGAGAAGAGCGGGGAAAGGAGGCCAAGGAAGCAAAGGAGATAGAGGCGGGGGGCTGAAGCCCAGACTTGAGGGAAGACGGGAAAAGGAAAAGGAGGATGGAGAGGAAAGAAGAGAGCCGGGGAAAGAAAGAGGAGCGGGAGAGAACAAGGGAGGGACGGGGAAAGAAAGAGAGAGGGGAGGGGTAAAGAAAGGAGGCGGCGGGGGAGACGAAAGAATGTGCCGGGGACGCGGCGGGGAGGCGGCCGCGGGGACAGGCGCGCCCCTGGGGAGCCGCGGGCTGCGCTCCACACGCGGGCGCCCGGGGCGCAGGGCGCGCCCGCCGCTCACCTTTCAGGATGAGGGTGTCGATGTCCCGGTCGATGCCCAGGAAGTAGCACTTCCTCCAGAGGCCCGAATAGGTGGCGAAGAGCGGCCGGCCGCACTCGGCGTCCAGCCCGCCGAGCCCCAGCAGCGAGCGCCACGACTCGGGGTCGGCGCGCCCGGGGCCGCCCGGGAGCAGCCGGCGCCCGAGGGGGGGCGAGTCCCGCAGCGGCAGGTGAGATAGCGGCATCAGGCGGTTCTTCTGGTCCGGGGGGTCGGCGCCCGCGCGGCTGCGCTCGCAGCTCTCCTTGTGGCGCCGGGGGTCGGTCTCGTACCAGTGGTCGGTGAAGATGGCCGTGACCAGCAGCCCCAGGGAGCAGAGGCTGAGGCCGAGGCTGAGCGCCGTGACGAGCGCCCGCGGCTCCATGGCTGCCCGCCCCGCCGCGGCCGCCGGTGGGCTCGCGCGCCGCCGCCAGACACAATGCACTTGGCCTCCGCTCGCTCCGCGCTCCCCCACCTGCCCCCCACCTCCCGCCCGCCCTCGGCTCCCGGCCCGGCGCGCTCCCTCCTCGGCTCCCTTTCGACCGCGCGCCCGCCCCTCCCCGGTCCGCCGCTCCGCGCCTCCCCGAACCTCGAGCGCTCCCTCGCCCCCCGCCTCTCCCGCAGCCCCTTCGCCTCCCTCCCGGCGCCGCCACCCCCGCGCACCCCTGCGCCCGCTCTGCACCTCGCGACCAACCCGTCCTCCCTGCTCTCCCGCGATCCCCCTTCCCTTGTGGATCCCTCCTCGCCGCCCTCACTTCTCCCTCGTCCCTTCCTCTCTCCTCTTCACCCTCTTCCTACTTTCCCCCTACTTTTCTTCAACTCTTCCTCCCTCTCTTTTCGTCCCTCTGTTGGCCTCCTCCTTGTCGCTTTCTGTCGCTGCCCTGGACGCGATGTTTCTCTCCAGCTACCCCCGAGCACACTGCCTGCCGTCCTCTCCCCTCCAACGACCTGAAAAGACATCCACCAACATCAGACCTAGTCTTGTCACTTGTCCAAGTTGATGTTGATCAGTGTCGCGTTTTCTACCCAGAAACAAATCCCATCCGGGTCGGGCTGCGTGGTGATATTTAACTCTTAGGAATCTCGATCTGGAGACGAAGACCCTTTCTCCGTCCTCCTGAAGGATGCAGCCTCGGAGACCCCTCGGCAGCTCTGTCTCCCTGTCATCCTCCCTTTCTCTCTCACTTGCCCACGGCAGCCTCTCAGCGCTCTCTTCGCTCCAGCCCCTCTTTCTGAAAGAAAGGCACCGAGCGTCACTGGAGCCGTAGGTCTCTAGGGCCAGAGATTTTCTCCCACTCCAGCCTGCTCGGAGATGGACTTCTTTTTCGTTGACCACCTCCATCTCCCGCCGGAGTGACGGCCTCCTGGCATTTCTAGAAGCGCACAGGATCAATAAGCCCTTGCAATGGCACCTGCTCTGTGAGGTGATTACTGCCTTTGAATAAAGAAAGCCCTTAGTAATAAATCAGAGGAATGATTTGTTTTTTATCTCCTGTGCAAGTTTCTTGCATGGACTGTGAGGGTCAGCAGCGAAGCAAAGTCAACATCTCAGCTTGCTTCTGTTTTCCAGGGCACTGGGCAGTCGCAGATGTTAATTCGGAGAATGGCAGGCAGATTCACATTTTCTAAAATGAGGAAACGTTAGGACTCAGGGTCCTGAGTTAATTGTGTTGTGCAGCCTCACGACAAAGGAGCAATACCCTCGTGCCACTTAGTGCCCTTGGGGCCACATCACAGACAGAAAACCATGCTGCGTGAGCCCAGGGATGCCAATTCTTGTGTTCTTATGCTGTGAAATATTAATGATCAAAAGATGGTGAGGCATTCATTAGATGCTGAATGTCATTACTCCACGATTTAATGGGACTTACTAATTAGTGCCCCACATCAATTGGTATGAATGTGATTTATATATTTCCTCTGAAATGACATCTGTAAGGGTGATATAAGAAACTTGCTGGGATTTATTTTCGTTGCTGTTTGTACTCAGCATCTTCAGAGGGTTTATTTCCCATGAAGACTGTGTACCTCTCCTGAGCACCTCCGTTCACAGATAGATCACGTAAGCAAATCCTTCAGTCACACTGGATGCCCCGTGCCCATTTCTGCTGACCTGACCATGTGAATTATTACTTGAATTTTATCACAGCTTCAGCAAGATCTATGGTGAGCTTCAGTCTAATTAAGGAAGACAAAGAATTATAATTTTAGTGTTCCTCTCACCTATAAGCTTTTCCTTAACAGGAACCGCTAAGCTCATCAAAGGAGTCTTATCTGGATTTACACAAAAATGATGAGACTTAGAAGCTCTCTTTTATTTATACTCTCTCTATACTATGTGTAAATTCCTAAATCTTTATGGATACAGAGAGAATATCTTTAACTGTGAGCCCACGGCTGACATCTACAAGTTGTCATGTGTCCTTTTATTTTTTAAAACACCTCTTGAGATAAAGATATTACAAACCCTACAAGTTCCAAGGGTGGTCAAACCTTTAGCAGCTCTTCACCCCCTTTTCAAACCCTGAGGTACTCTAAGAAAAAAATATTCTGCCACATTTCAGAGCCATCTGATTATCTTCACACAATAACCATGCCCCGACTGGGGCTGACAGAAGGAAACCTCTTTTTCAGGCACTTATGTTTAACTTAAAAGAAAATAATGTTCTGCTTCATTTTCCTAGCCAGAACCCTTGATCATACCCTTCTCAGAAAATAGCACGATCCTTGAAGTTCATTTATGTCTATGTTGAAGACCAGTCTCAGCATATAATCCAAAGGTTACCATGTGATGGATTACCCTTGACAGTATTCCATAAAAAATGTCACACGTTACAAATATGGGCCAGCAGCATGTAATGAGAGCACTGCCTCTGCTGGTGTAGCATTAACAGCATCAGCGGGATGTGACATATGATGTGTATACAGGTTTTGCTACAGCAACTGCATATCGTTCCATCCACGTTCTTAAATCTTTTGGATATTTCCAACAATGAACTATCACCCATGAGCCCCACTCTGTTAAGGGAGTGGGAAATACAAAGATGAATCAATGGTTCCCATCTTCTGGATGCTCCCAGTCTAGTGGTGAGAGACAGACACATAGATTTTTCTGTGCACTGTAGCACAAAGCAGAACAAAGTGTGTGGCAACGTGGACAATGAAAAGACCAACCACCTGGGGAAGTCAGGAAGGCTACTTAGAGGCAGTAACTTTTGAGTTAACTCTCAAAGGATGAGTTAAACTTTACCAAGAGGACTAGATCAGAGACACTGGCATGACACTCAATATAAGTCTGACTTACATATCTACCCGACAGATTTGGAGGCTTCCATATTTGAGCCCACTGTAAAAGAAGAATGCTCTTCTGTGTTTTTAAGTCATAAAGTTGACATCTTCTAATCCCTGACCACAAGCTAAATACTTGCAGGCGAGGAGAAGCAGGAGTCTAAGCCAGAGCACAGTCGATGTATGAGGGCATTTAGCCTGGCAGGTAGTCAAGATGATGGGAGATCACATACCCAACCAGAACACCGAGGCATGTCTCAGCAGTGCTGAGGGCGGTGCCGTGCCCTCAACGTTTTCAAACTTAGCTTGTTCTTCACTTGTCTTATATTTCCCTTTGCCATCTCCAGATCTGATATCACCAATATCTCCCTTGGAGAATAACAGTGTCCTAAAACGACAGGGATAGAGCTAGAGAATTTCCACCTGGGCGTTTCACTGTGTTGTAGAACTCAGTATGTCTAAAGGTCAACTCATATTTCCCTGTGGTCCAACTGCCCCTCCTCACTCCTCTCTCTTTCTGGTGTTGACAAGTCAGTCAAGACACTCAGACCCAATATTTTAGAATTCTCTATCGCATTCAGAAAGTGGTAGGGATTCTTCCTTTTAAATGCCTTTATAGCCAATCTTTCCTCTTCATTTCTACCACTTGCTATCACTATGCCTCTATCACCTCACATCTGGATTATTATTCCAGCTCCCTCCTTGGCCCCAGTGATTCCAGGACAGCTGGGTTCACGGGCAGATCATCCTGAAGTTATCCTGGACACTGATGCCAAATGCATCTTCCTCCAATGTTGTTTTGATGACGTCATCCTTCAGCACCCAACTCTCCTTTCTAGGTTAGAGAGAATTATCCTCTATATTACACTAGAGTCCTTCTTTGTTACTGTCAGTATTCCCGTAGCATTTAAACATCCCAATTTATGTGTTGGCCATGTTTAAATATTGAGAAAACAAAACACTTTTGCCTTCTCCAAACACACTTATCATAATATCTAGGTGCTTTATGACATTCATCGTATTTCTCTACACAGAAAGTTCTTAAATATTTTCTTACAAAAAGGTACACACACACACGGGGTGGGGGGAGAGAGAGAGAGAGAGAGAGAGAGAGAGAGAGAGAGAGAGAGATCTCCAATTATCACAGAGCTATGGCAATGATTTATTGACATACCTATGCTAAGCTAACCATGCTAGCCATGAATATTCTAAAAGGCTTTCACCCTTTTGCCCCAGTGCTAAAACCAAAAGCAATATCTTTCCTCATCTCAAACATTTAAATTCCGTAGAATTTACACTATGACGTTTAACCAAAACCACACACTGGACTTCCCTGGTGCCTCAGTGGTTAAGAATCCACCTGCCAGTGCAGGGGACATAGGTCCAAGCCCTGGTCCAGGAAGATCCCACATGCCGCAGAACAACTAAGCCCGTGCGCCACAACTACTGAGCCTGTGCTCTAGGGCCCGCGAACCACAACTACTAAGCCTGCGTGCCACAATTACTGAAGCCCATGCGCCTAGAGCCCGTGCTCTGCAACGAGAAGCCACCGCAATGAGAAGCCCGCACACCACAATGAGAGAGTAGCCCCCGCTTGCTGCAACTAGAGAAAGTCCTCCCACAGCAACGAAGACCCAAGGCAGCCATAACTAAATTTAATTAATTAATTAATTAAAAAACCAAAACAAA